TTTTACTAATGGATGCCAACAATGTGCTGAACCATGCTACCAATATGCTAAAACATGCTAGAAATAATGCTACACAATGCTAAAAACATGGTATATCATGCCAGTGGGCTAAATCAGAAGAAATATAGCATGAACAATGTGGTAAACCATGCTAGAAATGTTTTAGATCAAGTTATCAACATGCTAAAGCATGTTAATGTGCTAAAACATGCTAGGCTAAATCTTGTTGGAAACATTTTTAAATGCCAGCAATGGGTTAAATCTTTAATCTGGGTTAAAAGAAACATGTTAACAGTGCAAAATCATGTCAACAACATGCTAGAAGTGTTACAAATGAAGTTATGTGTTAAAACATGTCAATGTGCTAAAACATGCTAGAAACAACGTTAAATCATGTTATAAACATGTTGAAATGACAGCAATGGGCTAAATCATGCTAGAAACATGCTAACCATGCAAAATCATGCGAACAACATTCTACCCTGCTGAAAAATCCGGCTTAAACCAGCCTAGGCTGGTTTAAGCTGGATTTTTTTCTGCAGGGTAGAAATGTGTTAAATTAAGTTTTTGACATGCTAATAAACATTAACGATGTGTTAAGCAATGTGTGAAGTGAAGTTGTTTCTGTGCTTGTGTGTTTGTCCTGTGAGTTGTGAGAACGGTCTTCAACATGCCATTCCTCATTACGTCACCACATACGCTCCAATGCTGCTGGTGCTGGCCGTCAATCCAGTGCTGTTCACCAGGACCGTATCCGCCGGTGAGTGTGCTGGTCAGGTGTGCATGTTGTCAGTGTGAGTGTGTGTTCACGCTTCTGTCAGTCTATGTCGCTCCTGTCGCCGTTCATCTGAAACTCCACATCTATAATCCTCTGAGTCTATGCTGACATCATCTTCAGCAGCTCAAACACTCTAATGGCTAATGGACAGACGGCTGCTTCTCACTCAGGGCTCTGTTTATGCTAATGAGGGAGAGATGGGCACTAGTGGGCGGGGCTTTCCCCCTCTGATGACATGTACAAAGAGAGAATGTCAATCAAAGTGTTTCATTCATCAAGTCTGATTAGAACAAACACAGTTAATTCATGTTGACCATTAGAGGCTGGAGATATTCACACACTGCTGACACACAACTGGGTTTAAACCCTGCATAAAAGTGATTCCTGCAAAACAGGCCCTCTTTAAAGTGAGAAAAACAGCAAAGATTACTGTGCTATTATCATTACTATTATTCATGGCAAAACGACTCATTCTGCTTATTACACGGCTGTCTGGAATACTTGATTCTGATGGGTCAGTTACAACCTTCCAAGTATGTTATTCTCAAATAACCACTGATTAAACTAATGACAGGCTCATCCAGGTACTACCAATCATCTTGAATCATAGTGTGTGTGTATACATACTCACTAATAAATGAATAAAAAAAGGATAATGGTCACAGCCAGTGGTTCTCACACAATAAAGCACTACTGGTTCATCAGTAGCTGTTAAACTGAACGGGTTTATTCTGCGATAACAACTGGCTGGATGTGCATTATCCTGAATATTGCACGGCTGCTCAATAGTATCTGGATGCAGCCTTCATGATGCAAGCTGAGACTGCATCACTCAGCGATGCAATGTCAGGCACAATGCACTCAATGGAGTGAGTGATGTCACTGTGATGGGTAGGGTTAGGGGCGGGGTTAGGTGAGCGCATTAAAAAGCATTGGATGCAGCTCAGATTGCACTGCGCCAGGTCTGCATCCAGACCCCTCTCCGGCTGCTGGCCACAAAACTAAACTATTAGACACAAAACATTGATCTGAACTGTAATAATTGACTTGCTCTTTAATTAACTGTGGCTGTGGTCAGGGCCGGATTTTATTAAGGGCTAGGTAGGGCTCACGGGAGAAGGGGGCTCTTGATTGGCTGAAGACTTAATTTGCTAAACTGGGGCTCAGAGTGGCTGTAGCGCAATGAAAACAAAATCTTTGTTGCAGCGAATTATAAACACAACACTGACGACCCGTATCTCTGAACAATTCCTCTTCTTCCTCTTGTTTTGGCAACACAACGTGTCGTCTCTCTGTTGTCTAAATACTGTAACAGCTAAAACAGTCTTCGAAGCTATCATGCATATTAATGAAGTTGCACCTCTTACACAATAGAGCGCGCTGATTGGTTTGAACTAAGTCATACTCATGAATTAATGGTGCACACTCAGAGACGTAATAAGGCACCAACACGCTGTACAGACTCTACATGCTGAAATACACACAAGGATCTAATCGCTGTGACGCAGCTTCAAAAATTTGTTTCAAACCAGAACAAATTTGCTCTAAATAATGCATAAACAACCAATTTTCCCTTGTTAGTGTAATGTATGTGTCCTAATAGTGTTTATAGCAGCGTGGGACACATATACGACTGTCAACATCTCAAAACGTGTTCTGGTGTTTCATGACCCTTTAATGTGTACACCTTCCCCACCCCCAACCTCAAACCCCAGTGACATCACTTGTAGAAGAAGTGCTTCCTGGAGCTCAGCTCTGCCCATGCGGCTCTGCAGTGAGTACCACTTGTGCCTGTAGAATACATGCATATACCGTACTTGTTTTACATGTTAAAATGTTCAAAATCCAAAAATGCCATTATCAACTGATAATTTTCTACGGTCAAGTATTTGGCCCTACTGAAAAATCCAGCTTAAACCAGCCTAGGCTGGTTGGCTGGTTTTAGCTGGTCGACCAGGCTGGAAATGGCTGGAAACCAGCCTGGAAGTGGCCAAAACCCCTCAAAAACCAGCCTGGTCGACCAGCTAAAACCAGCCAACCAGCCTAGGCTGGTTTAAGCTGGATTTTTCAGCAGGGTAGAATGTTGTTCGCATGATTTTGCATGGTTAGCATGTTTCTAGCATGATTTAACCCATTCTGTCATTTCAACATGTTTTAACATTGTTGCTAGCATGTTTTAACACATTGCTAACGAGTACTAGCATGTTGATAGCTTAATTTAACACGTTTACAGCATGTTGGCATGTTTTTGCATGCTTAGCGTTTTCTAACATGATTTAGCCCATTGCTGATGTTTTAGCATGTTTATGACATGATTCAACATTGTTGCTAGCATGTTTTAACACATTGTTAATATTTATTGCCATGTTTTTTACTTGATTTAACACATTTCTAGCATGTTGTTTGCATGATTGTGCATGGTTAGCATCTTTCTAGCACGATTTAGCCCATTGCTGTCATTTTAACATGTTTTAACAATGTTGCTAGCATTGTTTTTACACATTGCTAACATGTGTTAGCATGTGAATTGTTTCTAACATGATTTAGCCCATTGCTGATGTATTAGAATGTTTATGACATGATTCAACATTGTTGCTAGCATGTTTTACCACATTGATAATGTTTATAAGCATGTTGTTTACTTGATTTAACACGTTTCTAGCATGTTGTTGGCATGATTTTGCATGGTTAGCATCTTTCTAGCATGATTTAGCCCATTGCTGTCATTGTAACATTTTAACATGTTTTAACATCATTGCTAGCATTTTAAGCACATTGGTTACATGTATAAGCATGTTCTGATTTAAGACATTTCTAGCATGTTGTTTGCATGATTTTGCATATTTAGGCATGTTTCTAGCACGATTTAGCTCTTTGCTGACATTTTTAACATGTTTATTACATGATTCAACATTGTTTCTAACATGGTTTAGCATGTTGATAACTTGATTTACCACATTGTTTATGGTATATTGCTTCTGGTTTAGCCCATTAGCAGGATTTACCATGTTTTTAACATGGTCTAGCATTGTTGCTAGCATGTTTTAGCACCTCTGTAGCACGGTTTAGCACATTGTTTGCATCCACTAGTAAAATAGTTTATTTCCGCACACTTTCCACACATTTACTTCTGCATGTCCGTTGATTTAGGTCAGTGTTTACCTGGAGATGGACGGGTAGTAAAGCATGGCGACTCCTTCCACACATAGC